CTTCAAAGAAAAACAAAAAGACTTTCAGTTCTAAAGTAAATAAGAGTAAACGGAGATACTAGTCAAAAAACCTTCAAATCATTAGAAATGCAGTGCTATTTCAGTCAGCATGGCCGCATTCGTCAACGTTTTCACTGAGAGGAAAGATATATGAAACAAAAAACACACTGACACGCAGAATAATCCATAATCTAAAGAACAAAGCGCAAATTCAAAATATTCGAAGTTTCCGATTACTGGATCCACATTTACAAAGCTATGAAAAAAAACCGCCTTTCCGTGCTTTTCGCCGGTTACTGTCAGAATATTTAAATACAGCAAACGATGTAGACATCGCACAAAAACGATAAATTGGTGAAAATCCCTAACTCTACTACGGACAATTAAAATTTTGATTTTTCATACACGAATCGTTATACAGTGTGCCAGCGAAAAGATATTTGGCTGCTCGAGTGAGTGTGCTTCTGCAGTAAAGGTACAGACCCCCTAGGGATGTGCAGTGTCGGTGTAAATACTAAGATACTGACAGTGAAGTCACTGACACGGAGTACCCTGAAGCAGTGATCACACTGCCACTGCGTACCACTGGAGCGTCGAAGACACTGGAACACCGACGTTTACTGATGTAGATAAGTCTCGTATACAACCAAACGTCGGTGCTCCAGTGTCTTCAACGCCCCAGTGGTACGCAGTGCCAGTGTAGCGACTAATCCAGTGCACCCAGCGCCGCTGACGGCACTGATCAGTAAACTGAAACTGCACATCCCTAGAGCCGTCTGAGGATATTCGTTTCAGTACAACCATGCGTGTGAAAGTACATCACCTGCCATTCTGAGTTTCTCAGCAAGCGCTGGCGTTCCAATCTCATAAGCCCACACGCACAGGAAACAAAGAGCCAAATAGGCAAAGAAACCATTATTTTTCCACTAACGAGAGCTTTATGCCATATAATCACGGTTGTAAATGACACTATTCGATTCAGCGTGAAATTTTTACCTAACTCATGCGAATTAGACCGAACGCAGGTAAGATAGTGAATCCGGACACGGATTCTGGGGCTCAATGCGTCCACAAACCCGTTTCTAATCCTAAAGGGGTTTTCTTATTCCGTCGCCATCCTCCACAATAGTACCATTCGATTCTGCGTAAAAGTTCTACACCTAACTCATGGGAATGACACCTAACTCAGGTAAGATAGCGAATCAGGACAGGGATTACTGGGCACAATGAGTGGAAAAACCAGTATTTGGAGGGTAAGCGGGGTTTTTTGCCCGATGACCCCCCTTGAAAGTGGTACCATCCGATTCAGCGTAAAATCTGCATCTAACTCATGGATATGAGACCCAACTCAGGTAAGATAGCAAATCCGGACAGGAATTACTAGGCAGAATGGGTTGAAAAACCAGTAGTTGGAGGGGAAACGGGGTTTTTGCCCGATGACCCCCCTTGAAAGTGGTACCATCCGATTCAGCGTAAAATCTGCATCTAACTCATGGATATGAGACCCATCTCAGGTAAGATAGCGAATCCGGACAGGGATTACTGGGCAGAATGGGTGGAAAAACCAGTATTTTGGGGGTAAGAGGGATTTTTTGCCCGATGACCCCCTTGAAAAAGGTATCATTCGATTCAGCATAAAATTCTGCACCTAACTCATGGATATGAGACCCAACTCAGGTAAGATAGTGAATCCGGACAGAAAATGGCGAATATGGTGCTAACTTTACCGACGTCTTTACATTGAGTGCCAAAAAGTGGACGACACAATGTGCAATACATTCTTCATCATTAAACCAATGACTACAGTCTTCGAAATTTAATTGACGAACTAATGTATTTCTACATGTGAATAATGATATTTGTAAAGGTAATGATGCATGCTGATGAATAGGTAGTATCGAAAGATAAGCCGCTCGATCGAATAAATTTTGCAATTGAGATTAAAAAGTATCAGCATAGGATGATAATGTAAGGATTCGTAGTTGGTTTAAATTTCGAAGAATAGATCCAACACTGATCATTGATAGAAAGTTTTATATGAAAATGTCTTATCATAGGTATAATGAACGATTAATGATCGTCATGCGGATATGTCGAACGCCGTGAGTCTGCAGATTCACTAGGAGACCAATAAGATAATGAAGATACAGTGCGCAGGTGGATAATTGTACTAAACGTAACACATCGAACAAACCATTGATGTTCATTAATCCAAAATGTAGTTCGAAATGAATCGATCAATCTATCGGCTCTTTGTTGAATATTCTCAATTGAAGAAAATGTTTTCAACATGTGAAGTTGAAATGTTTTAAGTTTTGGCAAGTAATTCCGGATGATATGTTCCCATTGATGACCATCGATCAGTTCACACAGTATGTTTATGTCCAAGCGACGTAAATTGGGAAGGTTTTGTAAGAAGAGAATCATTTTCAAATAATTACAAGACTCAAAAGAATGAATTTTCAAATGAATCAACATTGGAAGTGGAGATGGTATATAATCCTTATTAACTGAAGCCGCAATTATCGAAAGATGTTTTAAACGAGGTATGTATTCAACTAATTGGTTTATCTGATTGGTTTTAAGTTGAGCGAAATATATAGTTACACATTGAAGAGATAAAGAGATAATTGTTGGTAGACAAAAAGAATATTTTTCGAATTCAATTCTCAAATAGCACTTAATAAGTTTTGATAAACTCCAAATATTGTCAAGAATTAATTGGCAATTGACTTATTCATTTGGAAGAAAAGAAGCATATATGTCTAAATGCATAAGGTTATTTAGATGACGACATTCATCCAAGAGTTTCAATAATGTTTCATATGAATGAAGATTGTACAATGTCAGAGATTGCAACTGAGTAAAATAATTGAATGATGGTATATAAGATAAAAAATGATTAATTTCTCCTGGAATATTTCTATAATGAGAGAGATGAAGTGTAAGAACTCGATTAGCAATGAATGGTAAATGTTGTTGATATATAATATCGAATTTACTTTTGTATATACAATCAAATTTAAAACGATAGGCTCGAAATTGCTTGTACAAAAGAGAATTGAAACGTGAATTGAGACCATAAAATACATGAAGAAGATCAATACTATTCAAGTATTCGAATAGATCAAGTAAGATCTCATTAGGTAACAATTCCAAATTCATTGTGTGTGCGTCTTCACTTACAATTAAATATAATGTCTATAACGACGTAGAATATAATATTTTTGTATAAGATAAATAGGTTTTTCTTCTTTTTCAATATAACAGCTTTTTTTTGTTTTATCTGTTTCTAGTCAACGTATGCATCGCCTATATAAATAAGATGATCCGTCTGAAATATCGTCAGTACTCGGTAGGTTAGTCTAAAATGTCTCATCTATTTGGCATGTTGACCTCACCTTGACTAGTCAACAAAGAAGAAAACAAATATTCAATATGTGACGGGTATTGTGTGGAAATACTACAGCATTGTCTTATAGACACATTTTCGCCTAAAGACAATCATAGTGAATTATTTGTTTTCAAATACTTTGAAAATTTTTGGTGAAAATTCTTTCCTCTCTTTATCATGTTGATATTTGTTAGATCAATTCTTTTTAATCCATATTCGACTGTAACAGTGTTCTTGAAGTTTGTAGAAAAATTAACATGAAAATGATTTTATTCCTGTTGAAAAGATGTTTTTGATTGGAAAAGAGCATGCTACCAGAAATGTGGCGAAGAGAAAAAAGTGGGGGGGGGGGGTTGGGGGGAAACCACTGAAATCAAATTTTTTCGATTTAACTAATTAAACCGATTAAACTGATTTTTTTTTCGATTGTTTTTATTAAAATTTGACTTTTCTGATTGAAATCTCGAGACTTCGGTTAAGTTAAATTTAGCAAACAAGATATATGCATGCTGCATATTATCTTGTTTTTTAGCATAACCTAGATAAGTAGGACGTTAGCTAAATGATTTGTTATTCTTCTAGATCTAGAATTTCATGAATCACGCTGGATTATATCAATGGTTTTGTCAGAAAGACTTAATAAAAGTGTTGCTGCCTGATCAGATAATATTGAGCTGTTAAGTACGCTCGAAAATCGATTAAACAAATGAAACTTAATTTGACGTTCTAAATCAGTTTATGTCTATGATAGTGATGACGAGAGTTAGAATGAGACAAATAAATTCCTTTAGTTTTCAGAATGTATTTCAAAAAAAAGGACAAAAAACAATATTATTTCTTTAACTCTGACGCGTCTCAAACAATCCAATGAGAGCGATGATTTCTCACGGGTTAAGAACCAATAAGCTGCTTGCTTGTGTAAAAATTTTGTTTGTTGATTGATCGTCAATTTCCCAAGTGAACAAAAGACGGGTTAAATGACTAGTCCTTTTTCTAGTCATGCCGCCCGTCCCGACTAGTCTTTGTCTCAAAAAGTCCTCGATCAGGACTAGTCTGAACTTCGACCCGTCATACATACTGGTCCTAAAGTTGAGATTGACGAGCGTCACGAAACATGATAAGACTAGTCCTTTACTCAAAAAAGACGCGTCCGTGACCATGAATTTGGAAATCAACAGGAAGATACATGGTAGACGTTCGAGGTGTGGGTGTGGGCGTGGGTGTGAGTGCTGGTTAGGAAGAGATCAACACTGACATCCACACCTACACCTACAACCATACCCCACACTCGCTAACTGTCCAGTCGTATGCTATTGCTTTTTCCTTTTCTCTTCATACATGTTGTATGTTGTTTTCTCTGGACATTTCCAGTGATTATCCTTTTCTTCGTCAGTTGTTTATCCTTCTCATTGTTGACCTACTTTCTTTTTCTGTTTATCCTTCCATCTTTATCTTTATGATTGTCATTGATAATTTTTTTCGTTTTGTCTGTTTTATTATTTCATAATAAAACATATCATTCTCCATATCGTATGATCTTCATTCATGTTTTGCGACGACAAGTCTAGGTGGGTTCTTCTTTTGGTATTGTCCCCAACCAAGAGTCTCACAATATATATTTATGTTTGATCAATTCATACTTTAATGCCGAATTATAATCATTTCTTTGTTCCTTGTAGACCTTAATTAAATTGTTACAAATGGTAATAATCCACCACGAACTATGATTGGCGATTGACTCTAAAAGAATTTTTAGAGCTTTTTCATAATTAGTTAAAGCATTATCATATCTTTTAATTTTTTCATATAGAAAAGCTAAAGAATTGAGACTAATAGCACATTTTTCATCATCAATTGATGAATAGTATTTCAATGTAAGTTGAACTTGTAATTCTTTGTATTGTATCGATTTTAGATTATCATCAATGTTCATGTAGAGTTCAGACAATTTTTCATAGATGTCTATTTGTTCAATTTCTGTTGTTGTTTCTTCAATTGCTTTGATGTAAGATTCTATAGCCAACTTAAACCATTTTAAGGACATACTTGAATTTCTAATTGCATCCTGTGAGTAACAAAAAGCATTGTCATGATGAATTTGTCCAATGTTAATTGAACAGTAGTTTGACTCGTTGTTCCAAATCTGTAATGCTTTATTATAATAAGATAATGCTGCTGTAGTATTCTCTTCAGGCCAAAACTGATATCGACCGATACAATGAAATCGAAGTGCATTAATCCATTTTTCCTCTTGTGGATATAAATCGCAAAAAATATCGAAAATTAAGTTTATATCTTCGATCGATGCAAACTGCAAACTATCAGACAAGGTAGTTAGACATTTTTTTAATCGCTGACTAGTACACGTCAAACTTCGAAAGACTCTATCATCTACTAAAAATTCATCTCGTGTTAGTTGTAATTTCACAGTCCATAATTTTTCATTTTCGTCGTAACTGACACCATTTTGTCTTACTATTTTAAATGCTGTTCCAATCATAAATAAAATTTCTAATTCGCCTGAAAATTGACTCAAATTTGAAATATCGGCATAAGGACGTGATTGTTGATGAATATTAATTTCAATCTCAAATAGAACACGTTCATGACTACTATCTTCCATTTGATTAGGTTCAGGAAGAAAAAATAGTGCTAATTGACGATCTGAAGAAGTGGAAAGTAAGCTATTATTTATAATATTGAAATCACTATTGAGTTCATTAATTTCTTTGCGTGACATTATCTGTCCACGATAGAGAGTCATTATCGGTTCTGTTAAGTGTACTAATTTAAACTTTTCATGTTCTTCTTGTAATTGCTTATACAAATCTTGTACAAAGAAACCAAAGAGAAACATCACTTCAATATTATGCTGACGAAGTGCACAATTTAAAAGACTATAGAGAAATGTGTTGCGTGTATACCACCACACAGCTCTATCTGGTTTGTATTCTTTCTCAAATTCATCAAGAACTTTTAATTCTGAATCTTTACCATTGTAATAAGTTTTTAATGAATCAACGAGTTTATAATAAAATCCATCTGGATATGATAAATAAATTAGAACATCCATGTAAGTTACCCACCAAGATTCAATGGCATCATCCGTTGTGTTATCTTCTTTTCTTCCAAGAGCATTAAAAATTCCCTTATTTTCATACTTTTTATATTGTAAGACGTCTGCTTTCAAATCACATAATAATTGATCAGGATCTTTGCAAACACACTTGATCTAAATGAAAAGAAAAATTACTTGACTTCTTACGTTAAAGTGTGTCAGGCAGAATATCGAAAACTAATATCGATTTTCTTAATTATCAAAGGATCCCTGTCAATAAGGCCACTTTTCTCCTCCACATATTTTCAAGAAATAATTATATGGGCTTAACAAGGTTGATATGAGCTACAAATCTAGCATAGTCATTTTCCTTGAAATTACATTCGGTTTTTTGACCACTGTACTCTCTACGAGGTTTCGAAAAAAATTTTTTCAAAATTTATTTGTTAAAACTAACTAGTACTATCAGGTCAAATATGCTGATTACGAATATCACTATCTTAGACTTCAAAAATGTAATCCTGAAAAATTAGACCATTTTTTTCTATATCTGGATTGTGAGGTTTGAACCGAATTTTTGACCCTTCCCTTATATAGATTGGTCTCTAGAAGGTCTTAAAAAGCGACTTTCAGATCCACATTTTCAAGCTCTATCTGAATCTGGATGAATAAAGATCATTTAAAATGCTCAGCTGCATTTGATAGTGAAATAGGACCAGAATTCTAATAGAATAACCATCTGTGCTCCTTTTTCTAGTGCTCCTAGTACACTGAACACTTTTGAACTTAAGTGAGACTATATCAGTTCAATGCAGTTTTTCATGCTCTATCCAAATATGGAATCGAAAACGTTAATAAAGGCCGGCATCAGGTCGAAAATCATGAGCTACCAACAAAATTCCTTATTTTCACTTGTATATCGAGATTTCGACTATCAAAACTTAATTTTCATGCAAAATAAACATGATATTCGGAATCAGCATCAAAATCTACATCAGGCAACATATATTTCATCAAAAAATATTTTTCGTCAAAAAATTCGACCGTAGTTCCCCTCAGCTCTGTTTACTCAATTTTGCCCTGAGGTCTCCCACGGGCCGGATATTTGACGGAAAATATTTTTTGATAAAATATATGTTGCCTGATGTGGATTTTGATGCTGATTCTGAATATCATGTTTATTTTGCATGAAAATTTAAGTTTTGATAGTCGAAATCTCGATATACACGTGAAAATAAGGAATTTTGCTGGTAGCTCATGGTTTTTGGCCTGATGTCGGGTGTGGGTGTGGGCGAAAAGAAGAGCTACACTCACACCCACACCCACACTCATGTACGTTCAGCGGGTCGTTTGTCAAAATTTTTTTAAATATTGCAAAAGAAATATTTCGTTATTCTAAGACTTGAGTCATTTTTGTACCATTTTGTGTCGACACATGTGTCGGTAGCGTGTCCCATTGGCATGAGTATTGCAAGCGGAATATTCAGTTATTCTAAGACTTGAGTGATTTTTGTATCGTTTTGTGTCGACACATGGGTCGCTAGCGTGTCCTATCGACATGGGATATATTCAAAAAAAATAACAATTGAGAATGAGGAACCATTTCGCAAGGACATTTTTACCAAGGACATTTACTCTGAATTATTAGCATTCCAAATTTACAGCGCATAGTATTTTATGTGGTCAATTATATATGACTAAAGTCAGTTCACGAAAATATCACATTCTCTAACATTATGTGAACCACGTACCCGCCATATCTAGAACCATCATTAATAGTTAGTTATTCATTTCTAGAATGATGAGTCCATTCATATATCGTAGTATGTGATAGAGCAGTATCACTGTAAACTGTCACCATGTATTCATAGATATTGGATGGCAACTAGCCTTTCAAAAACATAAAACTTTTCTCCAATTTTTAATTTTCCGTCAGTGTATAAACAGTGGTCTAAACTGTATTTCGATATTTTTGTATGTATGTCTAATTCGACTGAGCTTATGATGTCTATAGATAGAGAACTGTACGAACTATACGCAGGCACTAATGCAAATACAGCAGTACTTATTGTTTTTAAATAAAATCAGTTTTGGAACTTTTTGAACGCTCCGTGTATACATCATCAACAGGCAAGGGAATAGCCTTTTACAAATGGTTTCAGGTAGGAGTGTCGCGAGGTGGCAAAAATAAGGGGATCGACGACTTTTTGGAATTTTGTGAAAACTTCTCAAGAATTTTTTGGAAACTTTCCAAGATTTTTCGAGAATTTTCAAAAAGTTTTCATAAATCATCAAGTGAAAAAAACAAAACTTCCGAAGATTGGGGGATCACCTCCTTTCCACTCGAGACATCCCTGATTACAGGTTATCTCGGTTTGAAAAACGTTAAAGAAATCTTTATTTTATTGGTCCAGTGAGGCCGTTTTTTTGTGATTCTTCACAGAGTTCTGTAGTAACTACAACAAATGCAACATACCTTTAAATAATTTGAAATCCACTCGGAATGATTCGCCTCAATGTCATAGACAATAATAGACCAAATATTTTTAAAATCAGTAATTTGTGAAATAAGAAGTTCACCTAGCTCACTGGATGATATTACTAAAAAGATTGTTGATAATTTTGCTTCTTCAATGTATTTTAAGCATTCTTTCACGTTATCGAACACTTTGGTATAATCAATAACTTTTCGAAGATTCTCAATTGTTAATGTTACCAAGTGACCTAACCACACTAACTGATGTGATTCAAGATTAATTTGTTCGCGATTGAAGAATTGACGACGTTGTATATCGTTTTTTGCTGCTTCAGAAGTAGTGTTGTAGGTAAGTGCGATCTGTGATGAAGTTACGTTATGAAAGGACGAAGACAATTCTAATAAAGCTTCATTATTAGAAAGAGTCGTCTCAGCTGCTGAATCATCTAACTTTTTCTTGAACAACTTTGCTCTCAGTTTTTCGGCATAGCTTGAAAAAGACAACATTATGTTCGTAGACAAAATGTCGTTTGTACTCCTAGAATACAAAACCGGAAAAAGTAGAACTATTAATTTGTTAAAAGTGTTGTTTACTGGATATATGTGTGCGACAGGTACACTCTTACTGGAATAGCTTTTCAGATCAATAACGGTTTTTGGACCAAAGAATAAACTCTTTTTACTTGTTGGTAAACCATGATATTTTTTTCGAAAATTAGAAGTATTCCACATGCTTCCTCTGTTTACACCTGTTCTCAAATTCGTAGAATAAAAGATGCATTCACCAGACAGACGAGTGTTGAAAAAAGAAACGACATTCTTACACGTAAAAAGCGCAGATTTTAACGCGTTAAAAAATTTCTTTTTCTTGAAAAAAAAGCAACTTTGTGAATGTTAACGTTGTAAAGCTCATTATTTTTAAAAAAACGTTTCTTTTTAACGTGTTAAAATGTGTGCTTTTTGCTAGGAGAAACGGGTGTGGGTGTGGGTGTGGGTGGGTGTGGGTGTGGGTGTGGGTGTGGGTGTGGGTGGATGTGGGTGTGGGTGTGGGTGTGGGTGGGTGTGGGTGTGGGTGTGGGTGTGGGTGTGGGTGTGGGGTGGGTGTGGGTGTGGGTGTGGGTGTGGGTGGGTGTGGGTGGGTGTGGGTGTGGGTGGGGTGTGGGTGTGGGTGTGGGGTATGGGTGTGGGTGTCGGGTGTGGGTGTGGGGTGTGGGTGTGGATGTCAGTATTCTCTCAAGTGATACCCATACCTATACCGATACCTCACTCCATCCACACTCAATCCACACCCATACCCACACCCATCAATCGACCAGTGTGAAAATTTGGTATGTTGTATGTTTTTCCAAGCTACAGGTACAAAGGAAATAAGTTTTTTTACAAACATAATAATATGTTCTTATAGAGCTGCAAATTCTCTATCACGGTATATATATATTTATCTTATCTTATACTTATATGTTGAATAATAATTCGAGTAATATTTAAGCACCATCGTTAATCAATCTTATATTTGACAGACACAGTCAAGAAAAAAAAGTAGCGAAAAACTCAATATTTTCGTACTGTTGATTAAGGGTGGTTCCATTGTACCCAAATTATTTTAACAATAATTAAGTACAAGAACGTATACAAATATATAGAAAGATAGAGAATTTCAAACGCTATCAGAATATATGATTGCCATTTTAAAAAAAAGTAATTCTATAGTAATAAAAAACTATAAAAACTTATTTTGATGACAGTGAGAAAATCAAGTCTGTGAGAATCTGGACATGAGGGTGCTTTTATTATAGTCAATTTATTTTGACAACGCATAAATGAAAACTAAAACATAAATATACAGAGTGATAGAAAACTCCACGGGCTTTCAGAATATGGTATTATTCTTTTAAAAATATGGTTTTATAGTGACGGTATACTCAAAATATCGACTGCAAATATTTTTTCGGGCGTATGTAATTTTGGCAAATCATTCTGAAGTGTCCCAGAATTTTTTGCGTAAGATATAAATGAATGAATTTCAATAAAAGAAGACATTTTAAGGTCTTTTCTTAGGTGCCACCTTTCTATAGGATGATTTTGAATTCAAAGAAAATGATTTCTGTGAAAAAAGTCTTCAAAGGGCTTTTTTGATTCATATAATTTCTGTTTAATTTTCTATTGGATCCGAAATTCGAAATCATCGATCTGGACGATGACAAAAAGTAAGGTTTTACTTATGGTGTCTTTTTTCTGATTACGCTTGGGTGCAATGGATTATGTGGAAATATGGTGGTAGACGTCAGTGCATACCGTCGTGTCCGTCAGAATACGAACGTGTTACGGCGTGGATATCACTGTAAACGGCGTATGTATTTCACCGTATACGACATGGCGTTATACGGTCGTAATATTGTGCCAAGCAAACAGGTGATTTACGGCCCGTGTACGATCTTAATTTTATCGTTTATTGTCGCTTTCGTCATCGTAAATGGCGGCATACAGTCGTTTACGATTGTGGCACTTATTGACCTGAAGATTTGGCGTTTAACGGTAG